TTCTGTCAACAAACTCGTTCCCACTGACGACCACAGCTGTAAGACAATAAACAATCATACACAAATTAGTAATCAGCCAGACACAGAAGAAGGAAGAAGCTTTGCAAAGTCTTCATAAAAAAAGGTAAAGGATCCTTTTTCACGCCTTCAGGCGCGTAGGGCATATAGGGCTAGACCTATATTTGTATAGACCAATCGGCACAAGATGTGTGATGTGGTCAGCATCACGCCGGCCGCCTTTACTTCCCGGGACTGCAGCTGGTACCCACTTATGGATGGGTCGACCTGGGAGCCAAGGTCATTTCTGAAAAAAGTCCGGCTCCACCAGGGAGCGAACCCACGACCTTCTGGTCAGCGGCGAGCGTCTAACCGCACCGCCACGGTGACTCAAAATCTTCATAGCTGGAGTATAAATAATTGTATATAGAAGATCCTTTGCAGAATGTCGTTCCCATCAGGCTCTGTCTGACAGAAACTCTCACCAGCTCTTTTGTCTCGTACACTTTCATACCCAGGGTGCCATATATATCCTGTGTCCATCTTTGTGCTGGCTAATGCCCATCTCTCTTGGTACTATGCTTTATGCTGTTATTCTATTCTAATCCACCTTGGCGCTTGATATGGCCAAACTATTTCCGCATTCGAGTTAATAACGGTTCCGTCCTAATGTGGGATACAATTTATTTTGAAGCCCCACCCTGGCTTTTGCCGGGGGCCCTAAATATAGCTGGGCCTTGAATATGGCCTAACGGCTGAACGAGACGTCACCGGTTGTTTATCGCTTGTGTTGTGTCATGTTAGGGTACAACTTACCTACATACCTAGCATTCCAGACTAAAATTCCTGGATGTTAAGATATTGTGGGATGTCAAGTAATTTTTTTCATCTTGGTCCATGCTAGTCAAAGAATCGGTCTAAAACATTTCAGCTCAAAAGCACATATTTTCTTCCTTAATGACTCCCTGATAGTACACGTCCTATATGCGTATGTATCTTCGGCTCTCATTATTTTGACTTTGCTTTCTTTGTGGGCTCTTAACCACGAATTGAAGAAATAATAATGTTATTAAATTAATATAAACAACATCAACTTCAGGGCACGTTGCTAAGTGGTTAATCCGTTTGCCCTCTTCCTCTCTCTCTCTCTCTCTCTCTCTCTCTCTCTCTCTCTCTCTCTCTCTCTCTCTCTCTCTCTCTCTCTCTCTCTCTCTCGTGTGCGCTCTCTCTCTTTCTCTGAAGGTCATGGTTTCGTTTCACTGCAACATTCGGTTAACGAAATTTTACGAGGATCGTCACTGGGGCTTAGAAGATCGCGCTTTGTGTAACGCCTTTAGCACGTAGCTGCCATGCTGTAAAGACAGAACATGTATGGGAGACAACTTGATGTAATTAAGTCGATCCTTCATAAAAAAAGTATAAAAAGACAAAGAGTTCTGGACCGTCGTGATCGCCGATCTCCAGATTACACAGACACCTCAGACGAATAATGTTTTAGTATTGATTGACTCAGACACCATAGTAACGCACGTGCAGACACAGAACAACTACATATTGTTCTAGTGACTACACATTAACGTGTGTAGAACATATACACCAAATACACTTCAGTGTGTTCTGTTAACTCCTGTTGGTTTCCGAAGTCGCATTTTGTGTGTGGGGTGGGATGGTTTATAGGAGGGAGTGGGGGAAAAAAAAGGGGGGGGGGGGGATTATAGAGTCGCTGTTCTCTAACAAGTATGTTGTAAAAATACGAATAATAGGGATTTGCTGAAATCTTGGGTTGTGGGTAATTTTTTACGTTTTAGTGGCTGAGAACCCCAGGCTGGACCCCATTGACCCCATACTCATAACACTGATTTTTTTTTGGGTAAGTTTATTTGTCTGTAAAAAGTCTGTATACAATAAATGCGTGTCACTTGTATTGTACGTGTTATATTTGCACGCGTTTGCGATATGCGTATATTTGTGAGGTAATATTTACAGAGCGTTGCTTTGTGTTAAGTTACAAATATCGCAGCCAAACTGTAAATAAAATTTAAGAGCCAACTGCTCTTTCAAGTGGAAACACTTAAGAAGAAGAAAAGGCTCTGTTGACTACATACAGAGACACAAGTTTAGATTTTCCTCTACCCCAGTCTCAAGCACACACAGTGATCACAGTTACACACAGTCTGACTAAACAGTTAGGGACATCAACAATGCAGCAACTACAGACGGTCACATCTACATACACCGACCATGACGTACCTGGCTTGATGGCAGGTCGAGCTGTGGAGACAAACACCAAAAATTAAAAAGTTGACAATATGCACACAGTCACGTGTACTTGACTTATATATATATATATATATATATATATATATATATATATATATATATATATATATATATATATATATATATATATATATATATCTTTATATATATATATATATACATATATATATATATAATATATACACACACAAAGTGGTTCTCTATCAACAAAACCTCATACTCGAAGCACATGTGAACCTACCGGCAGGACACACTTGTACTCTCACAGCAACTAGGGCAATATAGGGAACACAGAAAACTTCCCTAATCTGACAGTAGTTTCTATGGAATAGCCTCCCTTCTCAAACCCAACATCATATCTAAGGAACAGCCTCTGTTCTCACACCTACAATCATGTCTAAGGAACAGCCTCCGTTCTCACACCTACAATCATGTCTAAGGAACAGCCTCTGTTCTCACACCTACAATCATGTATAAGGAACAGCCTCTGTTCTCACACCTACAATCATGTCTAAGGAACAGCCTTCGTTCTCACACCTACAATCATGTCTAAGGAACAGCCTCCGTTCTCACACCTACAATCATGTCTAAGGAACAGCCTCCATTCCCACACACACAATCATGTCTAAGGAACAGCCTCCATTCTCACACACACAATCATGTCTAAGGAACAGCCTCCATTCTCACACCTACAATCATGTCTAAGGAACAGCCTCCATTTTCACACCTACAATCATGTCTAAGGAACAGCCTCCATTCTCACACACAATCATGTCTAAGGAACAGCCTTCATTCTTTCACACACAATCATGTCTAAGGAACAGCCTTCCTTCTCACACCTACAATCATGTCTAAGGAACAGCCTCCATTCTCTCACACACAATCATGTCTAAGGAACAGCCTTCCTTCTCACACCTACAATCATGTCCAAGGAACAGCCTCCATTCTCCCACCCACAATCATGTCTAAGGAACAGCCTCCATTCTCTCACACACAATCATGTCTAAGGAACAGCCTTCATTCTCACACCTACAATCATGTCTAAGGAACAGCCTCCATTCTTTCACACACAATCATGTCTAAGGAACAGCCTTCCTTCTCACACCTACAATCATGTCTAAGGAACAGCCTCCATTCTCTCACACACAATCATGTCTAAGGAACAGCCTTCCTTCTCACACCTACAATCATGTCCAAGGAACAGCCTCCATTCTCCCACCCACAATCATGTCTAAGGAACAGCCTCCGTTCTCACACCTACAATCATGTCTAAGGAACAGCCTCCATTCTCACACCTACAATCATGTCTAAGGAACAGCCTCCATTCTCACACCTACAATCATGTCTAAGGAACAGCCTCCATTCTCACACCCATATAGTCAAGTCAGGGGAACAAAAATCATTCTTTCAGAGCAAGCTGTCATGATATGTAAGATGTATCGTGATTGGAATTTAAAAAAAAAAAAGGAGGAGAACAAGAAAAATAAAGACGAAGAAAAAGAAGAAAAAGAAGAAGAAAAAGAAGAAGAGGAAGAAAAAGACGAAGAAAAGCAAAATAAAAGGCAATATTTGATGCACAAGTCTAGCTCAATCCTTCCTATTTCAACCCATAATTCAAATCTAAATCTTAGCAAACAGTTATGTGCACAAAATAAACGCTAATTTTACAACCAAAAACAGTTCCGCTGCATAGACTAAATGCGCCTAATACAACCACAAAATGAATGAAAATCATCATCAATAACCGAGTTTTTTCGTGTAACGAATTAGGGACATACTGCCATTGGTCAGAGCGTAGGCTGACCCATGTTGGAAATTAGCCAGCGCAGGTTCAATGAGATATAGCCTAGACTGACCTTCACTAGGAGTTACTAGGTTCAGCAAGACCTAGACAGACTTGCATTGGGGAATTAACTGTCACGATTTTCGGCAACCTTCATCAACATGGTCCTCCTTTGGGGACCAGTTTAGGACGCATGAGATTTGATAGTCTATGCAGTTGATTGCTACAATGTTAACTCAAGTAGGGAACTGTGAAAATATGGCTGTAGACATGTGGGTCCTCTTGACCTTCTTGTCATCTATTTCTTCCTCATCTATTCTACCACCACCTTCACACCTCCTTCCCTTCTTCATCCTCTTTCTTCTTCTTGTTCTTTTTCTTGTTCTTGTTCTTTTTCTTGTCCTTCTTCTTCTTCTTCTTCTTCTTCTTCTTCTTCTTCTTCTTCTTCTTCTTCTTCTTCTTCTTCTTTTCTTCTTCTTCTTCTTACTCTTTCTTCTTTTCTTTTCTTATTCTTTCTTCTTTTCTTATTCTTTCTTTTCTTTTCTTTCTTTCTTTCTTCTTTCTTTTTCTTTCTTTCTTTCTTTCTTTCTTTTCTTTCTTCTCTTCTTCTTCTTCTCTTTCTTCTCTCTTCTTTCTTTCTTCTTTCTTCTTCTTCTTCTTTCTTTCTTCTCTCTTCTTTCTTCTTCTTTCTTCTTCTTCTTTCTTTATTTCTTTCTTTCTTTCTTCTTCTTCTTCTTCTTCTTCTTCTTCTTCTTCTTCTTCTTCTTCTTCTTCTTCTTCTTCTTCTTCTTCTTCTTCTTCTTCTTCTTCTTCTTCTTCTTCTTCTTCTTCTTCCCCTTCTTCACTCTCATCATATTCATCACTATAATTAATAACACCATGAGCTTTCTATTCATCCATATCATGATCGTCTTATTTTTCACTAGCATTATCTTTCGCATTATAATTGTAATAAACATCTTCATCACCATCATCATTCGTCTATTATCATCTTTTCCCCCACTTACATCTACTTTTGCATCATCGTTTCAAAATGGCATTACACATTAATTTAACCCGCTCGTCTCTTCTCTAGTGTGACCACAGCATATCTACCTCAGGCCCGACCATACTTTCAAGAGGCTCAGTCTAACAATCGTCACTTGTCATTCACTGGGTTATGACCTTAGGATAATCTCGGTCTTTCTTGTCAGTCCCCCCCCCCCCCCCCCCCCCCACCCAACCCCCAGCTGTCTGATCGCAGTTAAAAACTCCATATGGTATAGCCCTCAGAGTTGATCAAATTTGCCAAATCCTCTACTTAGACATTTGCTGCTTTTTGTTGTTGTCTGAACTAGCTGCGGATCCATGCCTGACTTGACTATGAATTCTATTTCGTAACGAAATTTCTCCAGGAACCAGCCTGCATTTGCTTCAAATTTGTCACCGCTGGCATCACTTGTATTCGGCATTTTGGCTACTAAATCACCGTGCCAAAGTAACATCTTCTCACATATTATTGCCTTCCTAACAGCATCTCGTCCTGCAAGCTGCTTTTCATTAACACGAACCAACAAAATTTTGTTTTAACTTCTTCGTACACATGAGGCCTTTGCTTCGTTAACATAATCACTCATGTAGGCACGTCAGCCGTCTTTAGGGCAACTTTGTTCGTTCATAAAGTTTAGACCGTAGATTTAGCCATGTTGTACTGCTTAGCCGAATAGGACACACGAGCTCCATTCCCATGTTTTGTTATTTTTTTTTTTTCGTTTCTACTGTAATACGCATGAGTTTCATTACACGATTGTCACTAACACTTTTTTACTTTCTAGGGAGAAATAATTAGAGTTGATTAAAAGCAAACATTGTATCAAAAACGAGGCAATGACAAACAATGTTGACAGGGAGAAAACCTGAGTATAGCAGATGCTGTTGGCAAGCCGGAAACATGTCGCCAACGCCATGTTTGTGCGTTCGTGCTCCGAGATTTTGTTCATGGTTCGAATCAATTTTAATTTAAACTTTGTGTTCGTGGGCCGATTTGATAACGGATATAAGCGTTCGTAAACGGAGGTAGTACTGCAAATGGATCTTCTGTTTTCTGATTACATGGGTGTTACTGGTGTTCTTAAATGCAGTCTCAATGACCAGTGTCGACAGTCGTTCAGTAGATGCTTGAGAATCCGACTGGTGAACTGACTGATATTGACCGCATAGCCACAGTTCTCGAAACCAGAGTTAAGACACACACAGAGACACACGCGCACACGCGCACATACATATAGACATACACGCACACACACGCGCGCGCACATATATAGACACACACGCACACACACATAGACTCACAAGCACACATACACAGACACACACACTCACACACTCGCACACACACACAGACGCACACACATAGACACATTCACAGACACACAACCACAAAAACACGCATGCGCATACACAGACGCATGCACGCGCGAAAACGACCAAAAACTGGATTCTAACTTGCCCGCAACTTGTGCTTTCAGTGAAGCAGTACCGTAATGCACATGTTTTAGTGAAATTTTTTTTAGAGTAATGTTAAAAATAGTGGAAACCCTAAACATTAAAATAGAAGCCTTCAGAAAGGGGGGGGGGGGGGGGACACACACAGAGAGAGAGAGAGAGAGAGAGAGAGAGAGAGAGAGAGAGAGAGAGAGAGAGAGAGAGAGAGAGAGAGAGATATGAGAAAGCCAGAGTGCGAGAGACAGAGAGAGAGAAGCAAGTGCAACGTGGGAAAATAATGACCGTTTCCAGTAAAGCAAGTTTGTCACAACAATTAGCTGATTGTGTGCACTCTGGACAGAGAGAAACAAGGTGATTGTGTGCACTCTGGACAGAGAGAAACAAGGTGATTGTGTGCACTCTGGGTGATTGTGTGCACTCTGGACAGAGAGAAACAAGGTGATTGTGTGCACTCTGGACAGAGAGAAACAAGGTGATTGTGTGCACTCTGGACAGAGAGAAACAAGGTGATTGTGTGCACTCTGGACAGAGAGAAACAAGGTGATTGTGAGAACCCTGGACAGAGAGAAACAAGGTGATTGTGTGCACCCTGGACAGAGAGAAACAAGGTGATTGTGTGCACTCTGGACAGAGAGAAACAAGGTGATTGTGTGCACTCTGGACAGAGAGAAAAGGTGATTGTGGTGCACTCTGGACAGAGTGAAACAAGGTGATGTGTGCACTCTGGACAGAGAGAACAAGGTGATTGTGTGCACTCTGGACAGAGAGAAACAAGGTGATTGTGTGCACTCTGGACAGAGAGAAACAAGGTGATTGTGTGCACTCTGGACAGAGAGAAACAAGGTGATTGTGTGCACTCTGGACAGAGAGAAACAAGGTGATTGTGTGCACTCTGGACAGAGAGAAACAAGGTGATTGTGTGCACCCTGGACAGAGAGAAACAAGGTGATGGATTATTAGCGAATTCTGTTAGGGATTCACAAGGCAACAAAAATGATAGGAAGGAACAGTAATTACTCAAAGACGAACGAACGAACGAACTTTATTTTCAAAGGGTCACAAATTGGGCACGCAGGCCCGTCTTACATTCGGCCCTTCCAGTCAACCATCTTTCGCACAGCAGTTGTATTTTACCAATAAAGCATGTTATGATCATATGATGTTATGCATATTATGAATATTATAAAAGAACACAAAAGCATGAGTTGTAAAGTGAATGCAAAACCCCGCGCGTGCATACATACACCCGCATACACACGCTCACCCACTCACTTACACACACAAACATGCATGCATACATTCCATACACACATACACATATACATATAAACAAACATGCATACATACATACACACAGGCATACGTACACACAAACATACATACATACATAGATACAAACATACAGGCATACATACATACATACATTAATACATACATACGTAGTACAGGCATACACACATACAGTCATAAATCCAGTCATGCATGGAGACACACACATGCACACACGGACACTCCCACAGAGACACAAACACTCAGACAAAAATACAGACACACACAGACACTTACATATAAACATACACAGGGAAACACACAGCACACATATTTACATTCGTGCTCACACAATGACACACACACCACACATACGCAGACAAACATGCAAACACATACATACAGCCACATAGACACACACGCAGTCAAACACACACACACACAAATACAGACAAACAGGCAGACAAACACATACTGACACCCACAGAGACAAACACGCAGAAATGCATATACATACAAACACATAGAAATACACACGCAGACACATATATTCAGCACGCACAGACATATACTCTGACATGCAGACACATACAGACAACAAAGGGGCACACACAACACACACAGAGAAACACACATAGACATGCACAGACAGACAGACACATGCTGACACATACACTCACGCAGACAGACATACAGACACCTACACACAGAGATACATACATACAGCCTCATAGACACACCCGTAGACAAAACACATAAACATACACAGGCAAACATGAAGACAGACACACACGGGGACACACATAGACACAAACGAAGATATACACAGTCCATCAAATATGCAGAAAAAGAAACCATTTCACACTGAAACATACACGTGGACATCCGCGCGAACACACACACATTCGCACATACACAAGGACACAGACGCATACATTCGCAGACACACACGCAGATACACAAGCAGACAAACAACATACTCAGAGTCATATATATACAAACACGCCTACACATACATACATATCAAGCACACGCGCGCGCGCAAACATACATATCATACACACCTTGTTTAATAATAAATTGATTCAGCAATATGGGTTACATTACATTCAAGGTGGCATGTAATCGCTTGTAAGTATGAATTGAAAAAGTTTAGGGTTGAATGAATAGGGACTTTTAGAATTTTTCAGGTCTAGTGGAAGTTGGTTCCGCAAATGAGCAGCGGAGTACGCTAAACTTGTTTCATATAAATCAATTCTAGGTTTAGGTAAATGTAATAAATTTAGTCGCTTGCCAATAATAGGATTTGATTTAATTAATCGGAAAAGGTAGTTTGGAGTATTTTGAGATAAAATTTTATGAATAAATTTGGCCTTGTTGAAAATTAAACGTTTGCTAAATGGCAATAGTTTTAGATGTTTATAGAGATTATTTTTTACGATCTAAACTAAAAAATCTAAGAATAGACGAACAGAAATCCAAGAGTTAGTAAAGGACGAAAGAGATGAAAAGCGAAGAAGAAGAAGAAGAAGAAGAAGAAGAACAACAACAACAACAACAACAACAACAACAACAACAACAACAACAACAACAACTACTACTACTACTACTACAACAACAACAACAAGGGAATCAAAGGATCTAGCTAGAATTGTAGACCTGTATATTATTCGAAAATTCTGCAGAATTCTGTTAATATTCTTTGGAAAGAATCGTTTTTGTGAAGTTCGACAAGTGATAAAAAGGAAAACAACTTGGCCAGGTTCACATGGGATTTCGCAATGGGGCATAACTAATGCACAACTAGGCCACAGCCGTAATGAGATTCCACAAGTTCTGAAGACTGGGAAAGTGATGATTTTTGTCTTTGAATCTGAGCCGAAGCGGAGAATACCAGTACAACACCTGCATATGTTCGCTAGTTCTCCATGTTGGAATTAAATATATCCATATTACAGCGTGTCCTAGTGAGTTTGTAATGTAGCGACGGTTTGGCTCATATGCAACAGGTCTATTCATGGGTTCGGCCTAGGACAACTCTCACAACTTTCCGTTCTTTTTAGGATGGATTTGTTAGTTATTTGAAGACCTACTCTGGCTTTGCCAGGGGCTGCAATATAGCTTGGCCATAAATATGGCCTAAAGGCTGAACGCGGTTTCTGGGACCCTTCCACGGTTATCCTCACC